CAGAGTGAAAACATCTCAGCCTGTGTGGAAAGCACAACCACTCAGTGGGTTAGGTACCACAGGTACCTCAGTGCTATCACCTTCTTTGGTTTAGAGGGAAACCCAGCAGGGTCTGGGCCTGCACAGACTCCTGTCCCATTTCCAGGCAGATTCCTCACTCCTCAGCTGCAGCACAGCTCAGGGGTCAGTTCTGCTCCCCACAGGAGCAGGGCTAAGGTTGGCTCCAAAGCAGGTCCCACTGATGGAGGGACAGCCAGGGACACTTCTCACTCCCTCCTGGCAGTTATTGTGCAACCACCCAATAACTTTCACAGGAAGGAAGAGGCTTGAACACCAACCCACATGCAGCAGGGAGGTGTTTAGTTAAACCAAAACTGTTGCGAACGTGAAGAAACTTCACATGACATGGGCTGAGGATTTCCAGGGATTTAGTGTCCACGGCACATCAGCCAAACCCAAGGGATGCTGTGGAAAACGAAGCTTCTCAGGCCTATAAAAACTGATGAGAAATCAAAGTTTTGCTGCAAAATCCTTCACGTTGCAGCAGTGCTCCATTTCTAGAGGAGGCAGAGACTGGCTTAGTCAGAAAAGCTTAAAAACCCCAACAGCCTCAACCCTGCGACGGTGAGATCCATAATTCATGGAGATTGTGCAGAACACACCCAGGGCCATCAATATTTCACACATTCAGCACCAAACTCAAGTCAAACCCACGTCAGCGATTTCCTGGTGCTTTCATGGCAGGGAGGAAAACACCAGGCCAAGCAGAACCCGAAGGAGAAAAAGGAGCAAATTCTGTGCTCCTTTTAGCACAGGATTTGCTTGAGACCAGGGATTTACTCTTACAGATTTGAGACCCAAGACGTGGCAGGAGCAAAGCAACTGATTTGTGCCAACCAACACAAAAACCAGTTGTCTGTCTCCACTCATTCTCGACCTGAACAAATGATTTCCCAACACCAACCTGAGGCTGTATATGTTTATTCATCGTCAGTAATTTTTGTACACAAGGCAAATATTAATAGCTGAAAGGCAACACTTTTGGAGAGTATGTACAGAGCCATGTACAAGCAAAGTGTAAGAGGTCTGAAACTATGAATCAATTAAACCGTTTTATAAAAAGGAAGTGATGCTTTTTGCTTCTAAGACCTTAGAAATAATTTATTGCCAATCTGAAACTAAAGCAAGGAGAGGGAGAACAAAAAAAAAAAAAAAAAAAAAAAAAATTTACAATAAAAAGTAGTCCCTGGAAAGTTTATAAAAAGTTAAACATATAAAATTGTAAGCCACAAACATTTATACAAAGCTAATACAAATCTTGGTTTTGTTAAAGATCTATGAGGTTGTTACAAAATATATTTTTACATAAAGGCTTCACGTAAGGTATAAGCTCTCACTGCTACTGGAAGCGCAGGAAAGCAGTTTTAAATAGTCTGCAAGTCAACTTATCTTCAAGTACAATGCAAAGAAATTGCAAAATGGCACTGGATTGCAATGCTGTGGAATTAACAACTAGGTTCATGGTACCATCAAAGAGACAAGACCTGTAAAGTGAACTGGTGAACAATTCGGCACAGCAGGAGACTTCTGAGGGGTTTGGAATGGGAGTGTTGGTGGAAAATGAACCTTCTGCAACTGTTCTGGAAGAGGAACAACCAGGGGAGTGTTCCACTGGCCACGGACACATCAGACACAGCCTCAGGCTGTGAGCACTGACCCACCTGGCTGGGACCAGCCAAGGGTCAGGAGGCTTCAGACACCCACCCAGGACCAGATCAACTTGCTAGAAAAATGCTGATGGGCACAAATTAAAGCTACCTACAAAGGAGTCCAATATACAGCCTTTGAGATCATCTGGACTTCTTTTCAGAGCAGTTCCTCTAGAGGAAAGCTGAAGTTTACACAAACTCATGGCTTATGCTCCCACACACAGTATATAAAAAGAGTAAAGGTTTTCAAGCCCTGATGAACAGCCACAGTTTTTAGGTATCAATTGTCATCTCAGCTTCACATCCTGCAGCAGGGAACAGTCACTAAACCCCCAGTTTCACCTTCAAGTACAGGGAGGTGGTACAAGACAGTGGTTTATCTCCATATGGTCAGTGATCTTTGGAGCAGAGCTCAGCTCCAGCAGAGAACTAAGAAAGTTGGGGAAACCTGATTTTCTGCAAAACTTGATTTACTGGAAAACTTGATTTTCTACCTGCTCTCTCAACTTCACTAGAAATACAACCCTGTACCACAGACTGGTTTCCATGAGCAAGCTTCACCCTCACTAGCCAACTGCAACTCCTTTGTTTGCTTCAGGGTAAAAGTCTGTTCAGAGCATCAACCCTTCAGCTCCTGAACCAAAATGACATCCTGCTGTAAAGAAGTGATATTTAGAAATCCAAAAGGAAATCCAACACTCCACACTGTGCTCCATCCAGGGGCACAGTGAGGAGTGAGTCTGAAGGTGGACAAGGGCGTTGATTTGGGTTTTTTTGGCCGTATGTTATCACAGGAACCATGTAAACAGGTACATCAGGTGTGTTGCCTCACTCCTCCTGAGATCTAGGAGTGGGAAACATGAGAGATTTGACTCAGTGATTTCATTCAAATAATTCATTTCTGCCTGAGATTCATATAGTGCTTCTCTACCAGGGCCCACAAGTGACCCAGCAGTGGGTCTCCCCTGTTCTCTTCCAGGCCCTTGTGGTTCACAGGGACAGTGATCTGAAAGGATTAAAAACAAGGACTTTTGTGGTGGTTCAGGGGAGAAACCTGATGAGTCTTTTCCCCACTTCGCTAAGGTCAGAAGTGCCCAGTGCCTTGGTGATCCTGGCTGCTACCTTTAGCCTGACCTCAGCTGTGAGGATCTTCAGTAAATTAACAGGTCCCTTGACACAAAATTCATCATCATTGAACATTAATTTGTTTAGACAAATCCCTGGAAATCTTTCCATCATCCACTACCAGTCTTTAGTCTTCCCTGCAATCATCTGATCTGACACCCTCTGAAATACATCCTGCAGACTTCTCCAAATTAACTGTTTTAATCAGAGACAAGTAACTTTTTTGAAAAGAAACTTGTTCAGGCAACTGTCAGCAAAGGAAAAAAACGACCCAACTCTTGCTGACAACCAAGGACATGGATTTGTTCGATTTCTGCTTCCCAACACTGGACTTTGAGGCCATGAGAGCTTTGTATCTGCTCACGGAGCATTTACAGCTCAACCAAACCAACTGTTGTCTTTCTCCAAAGAGGGAAATGGAGAACTTCTGCTCCCATGTTGTCCAGTCCTTGAAACAGCCTTTCCTGAGGTGTCTAGTTCATTCTCCTTCTTGAATTGCTCACATATGACTGAACATACCAAACCAGGATTAATCCATGTCCAGTAGAGGCAAAATCAACTTTAAGTATCCCCATCTAAGGTTCTATTAATCCTCCTGACATCAGTGCTGCATCCAGACTTGTGGATGATGTTTAGATTCTGCACTGTGACTTCTCCCAAGCTCTTTTCAGAGTCCTTCCCTCCCAGAACAGTGCCTGATCACAGACTAACCCATGACTATCCCTTGGATGATATAAAAAAATAGAGGTCTTTCAAAGCACCTAACTAAATAAAAACACACTATTCCCCTTCTACTGCCAGGAGAACGAGGTACAGAGCTGTTAATACAACTTACAATCACAGTAAGTAAAGGCTAAGTTCAGGAGACAGGCAGCTTCCTATGTCCTAGCAGGGACACTGCTCCCAGCAGTGACACCACCACTGTTTGCCACATGTGCAAGTGGGGTGTGAATAAAAACTCATTCAGGGCTTGGCCACCATCATGATCCACAGGAATTGGCCTTTTCCACGGGGCCAAGTGGCAGCTGAACTGCCTCCATGTCCCTACAGTCTGTGGGAAACATGGCATTGACACTAATTTGTTCAGCACGAGCTCCCAAGCTCACTCTCCTTTTGCAGTACACTGTGAGGGATGTGAGGATTGCTTTCTTTTCACTATTTATTATTATTAAATTTTTTTTTAATCACATGGCAACTGCAGCATCCCCCCCTTGAAAAAAACCTAAAAACTGCACTGGAACTTTGGGTTCAATAGTCACAAGCAGCACTCTGGAGTATGCTGTGCAACATATTTGGCTCAAGTACACTTAGGATTGCCAGACCCAACTGGGAAGCCTCAGAAAGAACCTCAGCAGCTGAAGCACATTCTGCTGTGACTTTTTTTTTTTTTTTTCCAGAAGAAAACATTCATCTCCACGGTTTCAGCTACACAAGGCCTCTGCTGGGAACACGTAAGGCCACTGAAAATCCCAGAGGAGGACAAGAACACATGGAGGCACTTAGGTTTGCAAGTACTTCTCTCCATCACCCAACGCTACCGACTCGGAGGAGGCACTGAGAGGAGTTAAACCAGTGCTAAAGCACTTTGAGGACAGGCAATGTACCTACACAGAACACCTGGTTAGTGAGGGGAAGAAACACAGCTGAGCTTGCTCCCCCTTCCCACACCAGGACATCAGGAGGAGCAGATCAGAGTGCTCTGTGCTTTGCCATTGGCTTCAAGACACATGGAGTGAATTGTGTGCTGTGCCACTCACTAACCCCTCAGCACTGGGCTCAGCACTTCCTGCCTGAAACTCCCAGTCTGAAGGATTTTTAAAGCATCTCCTAGTCAAACCCAACGCCAAGGTTTATCCTTAAGCAGGAGGTGTGCTCCACCCAGGAATCCACGCTTCAAACAGATGATTCCAGCAAGGGATTGATGGGATTGCTAACCAAAAATAGACCTGAGAAATCATAAGTCAGCTCTGGTATCACAGTCTTCAGAATGAAGTTAGATTTGAAAAGTTTCTCCCCCACCCTCCCCCAAACCTTAAATTACTGCCACAGTCTAATCATCGCCACAATTTCACTGAAGTTTGGACTTGGAATTCTGAATTTTCTAGGATAATGTAAGTTTGTAAAAGGTCAAATTTACCACTTTACAGGTAACTTAGACATAGGTCTCCTATAAAATTACAACTTGAGTCAACTTTGAAGCTACACTGGAAGAGATTAAGCCTGAATTTCTGCAGAAATTGGCAATAATGTGTTCAGCAGCAGCTTTTAGCCACATATCAAGAAGTCTGACAGGATCTGGATTTCTCTACTCCTGCTGTAAACTTCTAGTTTAAAAAAAACAAAACCCCAACAACACACAAGAGTTACTGTCTCTTTGCACATCACTGTAACATGAGCTGCTTGAGGTTGTCGTGCAGGATGGTATCCTTGACATCACGGAAAACTAGCCTGATGTTCTCTGTGTTAATAGCAGTGGTGAAGTGGTGGTACAGAGGCTTCTGCTGCTGGTCCCGGCGTTTCGTACGAAAACAATCCACCAGGAATTTCTGCACATCTGTTAAGCAGTGAGGATCCCCTTCGAACTCTGGGAAATAGTCTTTGATGCTCACTTTCTGTACTTTCTCCTCAAGCAAGTCCGTCTTGTTCAAGAAGAGAATGATGGAGACGTTGCTGAAAACTCTGTTATTGACTATTGTCTCAAAAATGTTCAGGGACTCGGTGAGGCGATTCGTCTGCCGATCCTCCATGAGCACCTGGTCGAACTCGCTGGAGGACACGAGGAAGAGGATGGAGGTGACGCTGTCGAAGCACTCGAACCATCGTTTCCGCTCCGACCTCTGCCCACCCACATCGACCATCTTGAAAGGGACATTCTTGATCTCAAAGTCGTACTCGTGGATCCCTTTGGTCGGCCTTCGGGCCAGCAGGATGTCTTGCTGGGAGGGAAGGTAATCCTGGAAAAATAAAGGAGAGTGCCCTGATTAGGATGCTCACAGGCACAGGGATCACTGCAGTGCAGCACAAGGTTTTCCATGAATAACATGTGTGTTATTTCCATGCTCACACTGGAGGTTTTAGGACAGATCTGGAGTCCAAAGCAGGAAACACACCCTATATTAAATCATGACGTGTATCCCAAAGAATTGAAGCTTTCCCTTTGCCACGTGACAACGATCCATAAACCACCTGGGAGGTTTACCAGCCATTCCTCATGGCAGTTTCCCTCATCCTGATTACTTCATAGGATGGATCATAGTGTGTTAAGGGCTTGGAATGGACCCTAGAGATCATCCAGCCCCAACCCCTGCCCTGGGCAGGGACACCCCCGCCAGAGCAGGTTGCTCAGGGCTTTATCCAGCCTGGATGCTTCATTCAGCTTTATCCAAGCTTATCATTCATCCTCCACCCACAAAGCTGGGAACACTCTGGTTGCCAACACTACAATGAAGCAAATGGGTTCTAAAATTCCCAAACCAACAGCTAAGGTATATCCCATTCTACCTGTGCTCTCTGTTCCTCCCAGGTTCTCCTGCATACTGCACAACTGCTTCCAGAAAAAAATAGCTGCTCCCTAAGTAATTTTCAAGCAATCAATTATGCCTGAAAAGCAAAACCTAAGCAACTTTATGCGTTTGTGCCACGGATCTGTAGCTGCATCAGGTCAAAAAGTCAATCTATTAGGGGTGTGCCACACTGGAGAGCTCACACAGCCTGAGTTTTGCCCAAAAGTTACTGTGCCATGAGCAGAACAGAAGGCAGAGCAGCAGGACACAGTGGGACAGCCTGGGAGGGCACAGCTGTACCCTGAATCACAGCACCTCCAGCTCACCTTTCCTCACAATTCAAGGCAGGGCAAGAGCTTTTTCACTCTATTTTTGATTGCTACATGAACATCATCAACAGATGCTCCAGGAAGAGGAATTCCTATTAGTCAGCTTTTGACAGCATGAAATTCAAGACTCGGATTGGGAATTTCTTCATTCCTAGAATTACACTTCTGCATCTGCTCCAAGTCCTCCTGCTATCTGAACAGCATCCCCACCAGACAGCTGGCTGGGCTGCTCACTTGTTATGGAAACTCTTCCTCAGATTTTTCCAGCATTTCTCACAACTTCAGAGAGAGGCATTTAGGTTGTGGAATTTCAGTCTCCTCTCAGTGAATGATCTATGCTCTTCCTTTGACAGTGCCAGTTCCCAGGCTTGGAGCTTTTCTAAAGAGATGCAGGACCACAGTGCACAAAGTCTGATTCAAGCAGTCAGCTGGGTGGGGGAACAAGGACACAACTCCGTGGCTCATTCAATACCAGGATTACGAGTTTAAGGAATCTGGGCAAGTTCAAGCCACAAACAGAAAACTTAAACCTCAGGAAGTGAGTGCAACATTCCAAAGACTCAAGGATCACTCTGCCTTACCATGGAAGCTCCAAGTAAAACTGGAGAGAGGCAGGCTCTGTCTGAGCTCTGGGCTCCTCTGTCAGCAGCTCTGGAGCTCAGGCTCCCACCCTGCAGCTTGTGCTGCAGCACTGCTCCACAAGCAAACCCAACACCACCTCCAGCTGCAGGAGAGCTGAACTGCTGAAGCAGCACCAAGTTCTCTCCAAATTAAGTCACAGAAGTGCTGCCACCCCCTTGTCTGACTAAATCAGTGGTGATGTTATTTTCCTCTTTATTAAATTTATCTTGGGTTATTTTTACCAACATTGTAGGTAGGAAGATTCTGAAGAGAGCAATGACTGCATCAGAGGTCACTGAGCACATGTGAAGGGATTTTGAGCAAAGCTGACTGTTTGCATGTAGACAAGTGTAGTAGGTTCAACACTTCTTCCAACATTCAAACAGGAATGGATAAACTTCTATTGTCTAGGAATTTAGTCTCAAGTTCTCAGAACAAACCCAGAAAGTCTTAGCAAAGTTCAGGAGTGACTGAAATTATTCAAGTATGTAAATAAATAATTAATTAATATAACAGGCAAAGCCACATGTACCTTCAGTACTGGAACAAAATCACAAAGCAAACTCTCCTGGGAGTTGGCCTGTAATGTTTATTCAGTAAAGCTTTCAAGAACAAGGAGCTTATCCCTAGAATTCCTGACAAATTCCCTCTCCAGTATTATTACTCATTGAAAATTCCTTCCACACTTGCAACCACAAAGAAAATCCTTTCAAGTTCTACACTCACAGAAGACCCATCAGGTCTTATGGTGGACATTGGCTGCTCTGTGAGGCAAGGGCTGGTATATACTGTTGAGGCATTGGAATATTGCCCAGAGAGGTGATGGAGTCACCATCCCTGAAAGTGTTTAAGAGGCCTCTGGATCTGTGCTGGAGTTCAGGTTTCAGGGCTTACAGCAGTGGCAGGTTAACAGTTGGACACGATGACCTTACAGGTCATTTCCAGCCTTGATGGTTCCATGATTCAGCCATTATCTGGCTACAGGAAACCAAACCAAACAACTCCTAAGTCTTTTAGTTATCCTTTTGAAGGATGATGTTTTCTTCCTCATGCCCATCCTTGGGATATGCCCTTTCTCTGTGCAGATCCCATTCTCCACATCTGAAGACTTCAGCATTAGGTGAGTATTTTCCTTGGCTGGCACTGAGTATTCTTTTCCAAGCCCTTTCAATGTTTTGCCATTGTCAATCAGTGTTTTTCCTCCATGCATCCCCAAACTGATGTTGACTTGGAACATGTGCCTCCTTCCTCAACTTCACTGCAGCCTCCTAGAAGAGTTCAGCTATCAGCAGTTATCAGCAGCTCTTTTGCCTATCACAGCTCCAGTTAGGATCACAATTTAAGGCATGACAAAGATCCCACCACAGCCTGGAAAGCAGTGTCTCTCTGTGAGGTGTTTTGCACACACTCAGTCTGCACTGGCAGTTGAAATAACAGCACAGAGCTGAAGGAATCCAGCAGATCCCATGTGTCTGTGCCTGTCACATAACTCTCATTTTGCTGATCTGATTAAATCTGAACATTAAGTTCCTTTCCCTCAGTGCTGTTATCAGCTCCCTATTGCCAAGGGGCACGTGAACTGCAGATCTATTTGTTTATAAGCCATTTAGTTGCAGGTCAGCTCAGTTGTATCAGATGAGAACAGTAAAATACTCACATTAGTACAGTCTGGGGAAATAATCATTAGATAAATCTTGAATATAGATAAGAATAAACCAGAAGAGCCTATTAAATCTTTCACTTACTAACAAAACTTAGCACCTTTTTTCCTCAGGTATGCAACAAATTCTACAACAGGATCATTCTCAACACCATTTGGTATAACCTGAAACTAGAAGAGCTGTAATTCAGAGCATTCCCAAGCAGCATCAGACCTGCAGTGTGTGTGTATAAAAATATAGATACAATATATATTATGTATCAAATATTCTATATAGAAACTCCAATCAGTGACCAAACTTTACATTTTAATCAAAGAATGGACCAAAGTTTCTAAATGAAGAACTTGGAAACGAAGCTGCAAAACTCTTTACCCAATTGTGCTGGGGAACAAACCAAACCCTTCGAAACTCAGGTGGACTCAAAGACCATGAGAAACCCACAGTGGCAGAGAGTTTTGCAGTTCTCCTCCCAAGTGCAGGTCTTACAGCTCCTGCAATACAACTTCATCATTCAAGCAGTAACTAACGAGTCTATAAAATAATTATTCTACAGAAATTTCACCTTTTTTCCCCCAGAGAAAACAGGTTTCATTCTTCACTGCATAGACACCACTGACCTGTGACTGGTTTCACTCAGTGCTCCTGACTGGATGTGTAAACTCAAACCCAGACATTTCTGGGCATAATTTAGTGTTAAAGTGCTACTTTCACAGTCTTATGACTGGACAAGCACTTGTTATTTGGTTTTTTTGTTCAATCTCTATAGAAGTCTTGTTTCCAAAAAGTCTCTTTGCACTGCCCTGTGTTTTTGACATGTCAGTGATGAACTGCTGAGATAACCAAAGTTAACTAAAGTTATTTGAGGAGACACTGATTGCATTTCATCTATTTAAAACCCAGAGATCACAAAGACAACTTAAAACTCAAGACTGTAAAGAAAAATTGAAAAAAACTTACTTGCTCTCCAAGTTTATCCAAGTTGTCCAAGAAATACTTTACAGATTCCCCCTAAAAACAAATCAAATGGTTATTTAAATAAGTGTCATACTTGAGCCCAATAGTTTACATTCTCAAGTCCAGATAATTTACCAAAAAATCTACATTTAAGTGTTGTAAGCCATTCTTAAAAGCAGCTAACCTAAGAACACAACTGATGATTTATTCTTAGGCCAGTTAATATTTAAGCTTAAAAGCATAGAAGACACATTTATAATAGTTCCATTCTTTCCAAGTTTAGACTTGATAAATAAATCCTAGTGTTATCCACAGGGAGCATCAATGAAGCAGCCACACCTTCCGTATGAAAAGAAACATTCAGCTGCTCTCAGGCTTTGCAGAGTCTGCACACAAAGGCATTTGGGTACAGGGATTAATCACTGGAGAGAGTTAATTTACAACTGCAGTGCCACACAATCCATTCCCACAGGTACTTCCCCGGAGCACGGGGAGTGATGAGCAGAACAGAGGATGAAAAACCACAACAGACAAAGTTTCCCATCACACGCCAAGTTCACACAATCACAAATGTTCAGAGTGGGAAGGGACCCACGAGGATCATCGAGTCCAACTCCTGCTCTGCACAGAACATCCCTGAGAATCCCACCCTGGGCCTGAGAGTGTTGGAGCTCTGTCAGCCTTAGGGCTGTGCCCACTGCCCTGGGAGCTGTTCAGTGCCCAAACACCTCTGGGGGAAGAACCTTTTCCTAATATCCAACCTAAACCGTCCCTGACACAACTTCAGGCCACTCCCTTGGATCCTGTCACTGGTTGCCAGAGAGAAGAGATCAGTGCTGCCCTTGCACTGTCCCTTGGGAGGAAGTTGTGTACAGCAGTGAGGTCTCTCTCAGTCTCCTCCAGGCTGAACAGACCAAGTGTCTCAGCCACTCCTCATAAGGTCCCTCAAGGCCCTTCACCATCTTCATTGCCTCCTTTGGATGCTCCTTACCTAAGCAGGAGCACAACTCCTCACTGGGAGCAGCAAGCAGAGCTCCATGCACTGGTATCACACCTACTCCACAGGTAATCCAGGTTATCCTCCGGATTCAAGACATCCCTGACCTGGCAAATAGTAACTGCAGTTTATAATCCTTCCAGTAATGCGGAACTGAAGGTTTTTTTATGGTAAGGCTGAACTACATCCAACCCTCAGAACTCTATTTGGGTACTGGGATTAAGGAAGAACTCTGACAAGGAGGCTGCTGTGCCCAAGTTCTCTTGCAATAGGTAATGAAAGTACTGGTGGAATTCCCTGCAGAGGAAAGCAGCACCTTTTTTAGGGCTCAGTACCCTCATGGAAGCAGAGACAGATTTCCTTTGGAAAGCTCTTGATTACCAGCTGCAACTTACATCACAGCAATGCAGAAAAGAAACACCTGTGTGTTCACTCTGCACATGAAGAGTAAGAATTCTGACTGAATTTTCTTGATGAGAAATTCAAGAAGCATCTGAAGCTGAGATGACTACACCTACTCCAGACAAGTGAATTAGGACAGGAGTTACACCCTGATAATGACTTCCTCTCACTTCAATCTGAACTCTGCAAACTTATCTAGGAAGAATATCAAACCTCACTATCAAACTGTGTCATGTGAGCAGCAGTGAAACAGAGCCAAGGGAAAGAACAGGCCAAAAAGGGTTCTGGCAGACACATAAACAAGGTACTTCTCTAAGTTTTCCAGGTACTTAAATAAGTTACATAACACGAGGAGATACCACACCTTCAAGTGTGCAATTTGAACATCAACTGTTAATTAGGCAAGACTGGGGCTCTGGTTGGAACATGCCTTGTGCTCGACACACCTGCAGGGAAAGACTCCAACCTTATTTTACCTTGTTTGGCTTAGCTGTCCCTGTTCTCTCCAGGGTGACACTGCAGCAGCAGCACTAACCAGTTTAAAGCCTGGCAAAAGCAGCAGGAGCTGCTTGCAATCACAGCAGCACTGCACACCTACATCTTTTCCAGCATCTATTCTCGCCTCAGTTCTGTAAGGGAAGTCACAGGGAAGAGCACTCCTGTTTCACAGAAAACAAACAATCCATCAAGCTTCCCAAGCAGGAGTAACAGGATCAGTATTTAGGCCTTCCAAGTACTAAACCCACTGTCTGCAGCTGAATATTAAGGCAAAATAAAGTGAAAGGTCAGGCTTAATTTCTTTTTTAGGTCCCGGGAGGAGCTGGCAACATTCCCTCCCCCACAGGGCTACAGACAATCAGCAGATTTCAAACTCATTACATGGAGGTATTTATTCTACAATGCCTGAGCCTCAGAGGCTGTGAGTATTTGTGTGTGTGTATATGCAAATACGTGTTTTAATCCTAGCCAGCTCTTTTTTACACTACTTACAGCAATACTACTCCCTGAAGAAACATAACTCCACAGCACTGGAATGTCTAAGTTACTCCCTCTCCTTTAAGTCCCAGGGCTCACTGTACTGCCATGGATGGAGCAGTTGGAGCAGACAAGCCAGCCACAGCCTGGAAAGGTCACCACATGGATGGAGCAGTTGGAGCAGACAAGTAAGCCACAGCCTGGAAAGGTCACCTAACACCCTCGGAAGCAGCTTCCCAACAGAGGGGATTTCCTGAAATCACAGATGCAGAATACATGGGCCTGCAGGGACAGCAATGCTCCAGACATGGCTCAGCTCTGTATCTGAGGATAAAAGTTAATCAATGGTTTTTACAAATCTGCACAGCATGGAGAACCCAGACCAGCTTCAAACCTGTCACCTGCTCTCCCATCCTGCTCCAGCCCCACCTCCATCCCATCCAGGGCCTTCACTAGTGGGAATTTTCTACCTGACCTGGACATCTTCCTATTGTCAGGCTAAGCTCTGCTAACTACAGAGACTCCAGAACAGCAACTACCTCACCAAACAGATCCTTAGCACAATGTCCTATCGGAGAGATTTTTAGAACCAGAGTTTTGACCCATTTAAACAAGCTTCAAAAAGGCACAAAGCAGCCAGGCAAGACTTCTAATCCCTCTCCGAAGAGTGAACTGATGTATTTTATGCAATAATGAAGAGAAACCCGTGAAGAACTCAGCACACAACAACCAAGGACAGTCTTAAGATCACTAATTTTTAAAAATCAGTAAGAAAACGATCTATTCACATTCCTGTACAACAGCAGCTCCAAAGGCAGATCTGTGTTAGGCTTTTTCTTAGTAGATATAGAACTACATCTCAGTAAATCCGTGACAAGGATCACATGTAAATGTCTTTATTCAACAGTTGTCCCGTTTAAAACTTCCCTTCAGGCAAACTGTAAACTCTCTGGTTTACCCAAGATGACTAGAAATAAAAGAAACTGGGTTTCCCCCTGTGCCCCAGGAACTCCAGTGTGGCTCACCACGTCCAGCCCTGCCACGTGGCTGTTCAGCACTCACTCTGCAGCTGTCAGGCCACAGAGGAGCCACACCAAGGACAAAATCCACCCAGAGCTGAGAAACTGGAGGAGCTGCCCCCACTAACAAACTGCACTTCCCCATTACATCCCTTTTGTCTTCACACCCATGTCGTGTGAGCGCACAGGGTGGGAATTAAAAGGTCTAGCTAGAAATATACAGTGATGTCCTCAGCATAGGAAGGACATGGACCTGTTGGACTGAGTGCAGAGGAGACCACCAAGATGATCAGAGGGATGAAGCACCACTCCTGTAAGGAAAGGCTGAGAGAAATAGGATTGTTCAGTCTGGAGAAGAGAAAGCCTCAGGGTGACCTAATTGTGGCCTTGCAGACCCTGAAGGAATCTTACAAGAAAGACGGAGAGAGACTATTTCCAAGGGCCTAGAGAGACAGGACAAGGGGCAAGAGCAGGTTTGGATTGGATATTGGGCAGGAATTCTTCCCTGTGAGGTGCTGAGGCACTGGCACAGGTTGCCCAGAGAAGCTGTGGCTCCTCCATCCCTGGGAGTGTTCCAGGCCAGGTTGGACAGGGTTTGGAGCACCATGGGTTGGTGGAAGGTGTCCCTGCCCATGGCAGGGGATGAAACTGGATGAGTTTTAAGGTCCCTTCCAACACAAACCATTCCATGATTCTGTGCTGATATTCTTAAACTAGTCACAGGTGAAGTTTGGGGGTTTTAAATGCAGGTGAACCCTTTGAACCCACTTTTACAGCTGAGCAGTTCTGAAATGCAATCTCTGAAGTGTGGCTGCAGGTCAGTAAGGAGCTGTGCACTGCAGGAACTGACCATCCCATGGAACCTGACTCACCCACTGCCCACTTCCTTCTCCTGCACATAAAGCACAGCCCAAAGACACCGATACAAGTGACAAAATCAAACTCAGGCCTGAGCACCTCTCATATGAACATTGCTGCACTGCAGTAAAGCAACTTCCTGAACACACCCACTGCAACAGAATGAACAGCCTCCACACCAGTGCCAGAGACCTTCCAGTGTTAGGTGAGTGAGTTTTTTCTGGTTCAAACACCACTAAATCACCCCAGGGTATCAGATTTTAAGCAGTCCCTCTGCTTGCTTGTAGCAGATGCCCTTTTTTGTTCAGCTGGAGCACACATCTCAGCTGCAGCCCTTCAGCCCCTGATTCAGAAATGCATGTAAACCACAGGAAGTTGACTGTTAAATAACTTTATTCATAACTGTCAACTATTCCATTTTCAGAAAGGTTTGAGTCAAACCAGCCTGTGTGTCTCCTGGAGCCTTGTGATCCTCTCTGAGCAAAGCCAAGTCAGTTCAGATCATTAATGCACAGTGATTTACAAGAAACACAACTGAAACGTGTTCCTACCAAGGTCCTTGATGGTACCACAAGGCTGGATTTGTTTTAACTACCTTGCTCAAGCTGCACAATGAAACCTCTCCAGTTTTGTAACTCACTCTCTCCACAAAGACAGGGTTACAGCTCAGTTGGTCATTTACCTGTCAGCCAACACCTGCTGGTGTTGTCTTCTGCAGCAAACCAGAGCAGAGATCTTTCATAAACAAAACAAGGCACAGAGAGATCACTGTCAAGTTAGTGCCTAAAGCAAAGCAACCACAA